CTAATTAAACCTCCCTAATTCCTTAGGTGAAATTCAATCAAATATTGTATTAAGTTCTGGAAATTATAGGATTACTATATTATGATACTTATTCCTAAGATCTCAATAACCTAGGCATATGATTCAGATCTGAGAAATAAACTCAATTTTCTTTATAAAGATTCCTCTATGTTCAATTAAATGAAGAATTAGCTCACAACTACATTAAGAACAGAATCACATACTCAATTCAATCAAAACTTCAAGGTCCAGATCCAAAATTACATCACAATATCAAATTTGAATCCATGGATCCCTAACAAAAAGAAATCAGAACATGTTCCTAAAAGAAAAAGAGAGAGAAAGAGTAGAAGAAGAGGAGCTATAAAATTTCTTCATAAATCTAATCCCCAGTCTGATTCCTCAAGGTCCAAAGCTTGGAAGTCGCCCCCAATCTTCCTCTCAACTCTCCTAAGGTGTAGAAATGGAAAGAATACAAAAAATGGCCAAAGACTTCCAAATCTGAACTCTTAACAGCTATTTATAATTTTTCCCGCCACCTTCCACGTTGACACTTTAATCGCTAAGAGTAATAACGTAGAAAGCCTTCCAGAAGCTTCTAAGGCTGAATTGGGAACTCTAAACGTCCAAAATTGATACTTAAAAGTAGTTTCCCAAATTCTGTTATTTTGCATGGACACTCTTAGCACTTAGAGTGTCCACACGTATGTGTTCTATGCAAATAAGCCTTGTGCGTGGCTACTTTAAGTGACTAGAGTGTCCACGCACAACTTTGAGTGGCTACTTTTAGCAATTAGAGTGGACACTCTTCTGCGTGTGGCTACTCTCAGCAGTTAGAGTGGACACTCAATTATGGGCGTGGCTACTCTCAGCACTTAGAGTGGACACTCTCTTTGATCTTCATGGATTTTCCTCTTCAAATTATTAACTCTATGCATCCAAAGTGGCTACGCCCAACACATAACACTTGATTTTTTATCTTTTAAGCTCAATTCCTCTACTTTCTTCAGTTCAATCTTCAACTCAAACATCTTCAGCTCAAGTTTCTGCACAAAGTTAAGTCTTTTTAAGCAAAATTATCCAGAATTGGAATAAAATCTAAAATTCTAAACTATTTACACAATTATGAATATTAATACAAATTTTATGGTATTTTCAAGTTTATTTACTATTTAACTCCTTATTTACTAATAAAAACTAGGCTAAAAATATAGTAAAATGTGGATTTATCAATTAGCCTAATTAAATGATATAATATAGAATAAATTTTTCTATTAAAAATATAGACCAAGATAAATTTTTTTCGTTTGCTTTATTATTAAATATATTTTTATATTAATCTCTTATAACTCCACATAAGTAATATAATAATACAAAAATTCAATGCATAGTTGTAGAACAAAGTTCAAGCATATATATATATATGCGGGTATGGGACGAGGTGGTACTTAGATACCCACACTCATACTCGTACCCATATAACGGGTAAATACCCTACCCACTGTGGGTAAATTTTGCGGGTGTCCATCGGGGTACTTTACCCATTGTCATCCCTAATCCTAGGATTACCCCTAGAACGAGAATTAGAATTCAATATTGATTTGGTACCAGGAGCGGGACCTATTTTCGTAGCTCCATATAGGATGTCCCTGTTGGAACTATCAGAACTTAAAAAGCAACTAGAAGAACTCTTTAAGAAATAATTTGTTAGGCTGAGTGTGTCACCATGGGGAGTACCAGTACTGTTGGTGACGATTAAGAATAAATATCCATTGCCAAGAATAGATAATTTGATGGATCAGTTACGCGAAACAACAATATTTTCAAAGATCAATTTAAGATTGAAGTATTATCAAATCAGAGTACGATCCGAGGATATACCAAAGACTGTTTTTAGAATGTGTTATGGACACTACGAGTACTTAGTTATGCCTTTTGGAGTGACCAATGCCCCAACTGTGTTCATGGATTATATGAATAAGATTTTTCATCCTTTTCTGGATAAATTTGTGGTTGTATTCATTGATGACATCCTTATATACTTAGAGAGCAAAAAAGAGAATGTTGAACATGTCACAAAGCTAAGAGAACAGTAACTAGCAAGTGTACTAGGTAGTTGTAACAAGTAATAAAATTTAGAATTCAATTTGAGTCTCAAGTATCGTCCTTAGGGATTTATTCTATTAATTACCACTTCACAAATCAATAACTAGTTGAGCTAAACAAAATTTGGAGTGTTTTGAATCATTTAAGAACAAAAGCAATAAATTGTAGAAATCAGAAAATAACAGCAAAATAGAGTAACGAATTTAGAAATGAAATGATATGTGAATGAAGTTAGGACTGATTTCACCTCTTTATCAATTGCAAAACTGAAGTAGATCTGAACTCTAAGTTTTTTAATTGATTGATGATCAATTTCACTTATTTAATCAAAGGACAATCCCTTGCCTCAATGATCCTAATATTTAATTAACTACCCTAATTCCTTAGATGTAAATCAATCAAACATTGCATTAAGTATGAGAAATTAAGATATCACAAGATCACAAATTTTTATCCCTAAGATATCCATAACCATGATATTCAATTCATATTTGAGAAATTAACTCAACTTCCATTGATGAAAATCCTCTAGGTTCAATTCAATTGAATAGCTAATTCAAGAATTGCATTAAGAAAAGAATTAAATATTTAATACAATCAAGATCTTAAAATCCAGATCCACAATCAATTTACAATATCAAAATCGAATCTATCAATCCATAAGAAAAAGAAATCAGAACATGTTCCTAAAAGAAAAGAAAGAGAAAGAGTAGAAGAAGAGGACCTGCAGAATTTCTTCATAAATCTAATCCTCAGCTTGATTCCTCAAGGTCTAGAGCTTGGAAGTCACCCCCAATCTCCCTCTCTAACTCTACTAAGGTGTGGAAATGAAAAAATGAGAAAAGATACAAGTTTCTGGGCTAATCTCTTATATATAGAATTTGCTACCTTTCTGGCGTGATCACTATTTTTCATAAAAGTAGCAACGCAGAGGTTCGTGGTCTGCGCGTGTTCACTTTCGTGAACAATAGGAGTCACGCGCAGCTAGAACAATCACTTTTGTAAGGAAAAGTGATCACACGCAGCTTGCTTTGCTAAAGGGCTCTCTAGAACGATCACTTTTGTAAGGAAAAGTGATAACGCGCAGTTGGAACAATCACTTTTGTGAAAAAAATTTATAACGCTCATCTTGCTTTGATGGAAGCTTCTCTGGAACGATCACTTTTGTCAACTCCTTGTGGACTTATGAGAACAATATATATTAATGTTATTTCATGTTTCTTTTAATTGGTTTGATTTCCATTACATTGTTATTTATATTTTGTAAATTTGAGAAAAATAAACAAAAATGTTATAATTCCACATGTTATATTTAGCTGGCAAATGAATTTAATTTAAATCTTTCTCTCCTAATTACGGAATTATTTTCTTATTATTTTGAATAAAATAAGGATGTTACATACTTCTTAATGAATGTCATGTTCTAGGCCATTATTTTTCCACCTATGCATGTCATCTTCTAATGAATCTTTTGTATGCATGTTACTTTCTATACATGGATCATTATTTTCAAGCTTATACACACCATCTTCTAAACACAGTTCATTATTTAAATTCAATATACGATAGTTAAAAGATGAAACATGAGTAGGTGAAGAATCTTGACTATGATCAAAGGTAAGAAACTCTGAAGCATCAACATTTATATCTAGCAAATAAAGTTTTTCTTTCTTACATTATTTTCTCCCATTTGATATAGTAAAATTTGTTAAATCAATATTTAAATCTATTTAACTAAAAGGGTACGTTGATCTTTCTTTATAGTTATATTTATCAATCATAAGCAAATTTAACAGAAATTTTTAAATATTCAAATTTTGTAACAAGAAATCAATTCAATAAAACTTGGTAAAAAATTTTGTGAGAAACAAAAGATTAATAATAATAATAATAATAAAAAATCACTACCACTGAAACCCATTTCAATAAAGGTATAAATGATGGAAGAATAAAGGTAGTGAAAAATTATTATTGTAAATGAATATTAAAATATTAGGAAATAAATAAATAAAATTAATAAAGATATAAATAAGGGTATTTTAGTAAAAAAATATAATAATATACTACATAATTAATGCTTTCTTAACTTGTGTGTAGAAACTTCAAACAACAAAACATATGAAAGGAAGGGAATAATAAGATGTTTAAAACATTAATTTTAAGGATTGACAATCAATATCACTGATAATAACATATTTAAATAATTATATATTTAATTATTAATTATAATATTTTAAATTATATTTTTGTAAAAAAATAGTAGTTAAAATTATTCATAGTAGTAATGAATAAATTGGTCATTATTTTATAATAACAGTAACTAATAAATCATTATAATTATTATTTATACCTGTAATAATTTATTTTGTCAATAATAATAACTTTAACTTTTACGATAACAAATATTTTATTAAAGTGGCTACAAAATATTTTAATGACTTGAGTATTCAAGTGACGAATTTAAATATTATCACAAATTATTTAATATCAATTTTTTAATATATTTAATGACAAATTTTATAATAAAATAAATATGATTTCTCGTAATGTTTCAAAATGTTATAAACACAACAAAAATTTCAAACCTTTTTATCGTCAAACTTTTTCTCTCTCTCATTATTTATACATCTCTTTGATTCCCACTGCTTAAATTTTTACATCTTAAATCTCTTTAACATTTATGTTACAATCTTACGAGTAAAGAAAAAAAGAAACAAAGACTCCATTTATATATATGTACACGAGCAATGCAACTTCGAACCAACCTATGTGCTTTATTGTGCAACGAAAGCTAGCACGAACATGAAGGAGAATTAATCTTCTGGTGACGTATAATATTCAGGTTCCTTAAAACAAATCGAAACGAGGCGTGTCGACATGAACCTCCCAAAATGTCAAGTAGTGCTAACTTCACAAATACGTAGGTGGTGGTGGTGGCTTTCATAAACATGATGGGAATGAATATGATTCACCCCTTCATGACACCTCTCGAACCTTTCACTGGGAAATTTCCACTTTCCAACCCTAATATCTTCTTCCTCACTTCTAATAACCTCTTCAACCACATCATCATAACCATTTTCCTCTAACTCTCCTAGCGGCTCTACTATCTTTTCTTCTTCCTTCATTTGCTTTTCTACATGTTTTTTATCTGCCTTTTCTTCTTCTTCTTCTACATCATCTAAGATACAACGATCTGGAACCAGAAACAATTTAAGCCGTCCATCTTGTCGCATAGCATATAGAATTTTGGCTCTTTTTATTCTAACTTTTCTAAGTTGTAACCTTCCATTTTTTCTCACTGGTAAGAGTCTAAAACTTGGTTGTCCATTCCTGTTCAACGAAGAAAGCAGGGGTGGAAATGTATTCATTTTCCTCCAATTTCCTCTTTCATTCCTACAGCTATCTTCATCGTCGTCATTATCACTATTGTTTTCATTGTCATCAATTTCAGCATTAACTCGCCTCTCATCAATGCTTTCAAACTCGAGATTCTCATTGCTAGTCACCAACCCTTCAATCTCTTCGTTGGCATTATTGTTGATAAATCCAAGTAGTGATGGTGGGGAAAGGGAGGGCTTTGGCAATGGAGGGGAATCCAGAAGATGCATGATGTTGGTGGATGAATTGTGGCGCTTGAGATGAAGCTTGTAGTTGTTGAAGGTGGTGGCAAAACAAAAGAAAGGGTGAATGCTCTTCTTGAAGGCATGAAAAAGGAAAGAGAAAGAAAGTGAGAGAAGAATAGGAATATTGTATAAGAAGAAAGTCATTGTCACATTTATAGATAATTATATTTAAAAAAACTCTTAAACTGGTTTGAGGGGAGTGTTGTGTCATATGATTATAGAATTTAGAAAAACTAAGGAGATGGGAAGAGGGTGAGAGTATTAATATTATTCTCACCCCCAAAGATAGAGGGAGAGAGAAAGGGATATGGTGATGATGATAAGGTGAAGAGATCAGTGGAAGGGGAAAATTGAGAAGAGAGGGAGAAAACGATTATATGAAGCAACGAACTGTAGTGGTGGAACAAAGTTAGCAATAGCAAATGGTGCCGAGTCCAACTAAGATGGCCTATCATTCCTCCCAAGGTGGCACATTGCTACTTTTCTTCCGCATTCTCAACCAATATCCTCATCCTCATATTTTTTTGGGTTACTCAGTTAGCTAAAACATAGGAAGCTTTTAGGACTGTGCGTGTAAGAGATGGTACAAATTTAAAGGTGCAAAATATGTAGACCCATTTCATAAGATAAGTGATGTATTTTGAGTTTTTTTATTCAGAATTCTCAATCATAATTATTATTACTATTGCCTATGGTTACAAAGTTATCTTTTTGTTTTCTTTACTGGGAGATATCATAAAGAATCAAAATTTCAGCATTTTATTTCTTTTTTATCATGCATCTCTATCCAAAAATATACAAATTTTCAAAAATTTTATTTTAAAGAACCACTCGTGCCTTTATTATGTTCTAATAACAGTTCGGTTTTATTATCCGAAACTAAAAAGCATGATATATTAAGGACAAAACGATTATTTTAAAAAATCAGAGAAATTAATTTCAAATAAAATATCACATGCTATAATTTTGATACGTTCATTGTATATTCTAATACATAAAACTAAACAAGTACCTATAAGTATTTACAATTCTTTTATAATATATATATATATATATATATAAAAGATCTTTTTACATTGGTGTGTAAGTTTAAATTTAAAAATTTTTATACTCGATTAGAACTTTTCATTTAACTTACATCTAATGAGTTATAATTTATTACTTCATTAAACATTAGATGTAAATTAAATGAAAGTTCAGATCGAGTTGAGAAGATTCTTTTTTCATGTTTTGTTTTTGTAAACACATGAAATAGTCTTTCTTCTTGATTAAGATTTGATGCAGTAGTAGTATATATTGAATAACAAATCAACCCTTTAAGATAGCTGCAAGTATAATATAGTAGTAACTCTTGGAAGATATTAAGCTTATGATTTGAAAATGCAGACAACCTAGCTCAATACACGCATGTTAATCTCATGGATAATTATGGAATCACTGGCGTCCTGGGCTCATGGAATATATATAGCCTACTTTTTTGCCTTAAGTAACATCTGATGTGCTGAATTTGTTTCATGCTTTTCTTGGGCGTGAAGAAACCAGAAATGCAACAACTTTAAAATGCCCAGATATCACTATTCACGTCTCATTTTATACTTCATCAATGGAGCACTTACAAATTACAATGCAAAATAGACTTGTCGCTTGCTATTTCTTCTTTCATTCGGAATCACAAATGCCTATAGCCTGTCTATTTTCTTTTAATATTAATTGAAGAGTAATGCTAATCTTATAATAACATTTTAAAATTAGTGTTATACATTTTTTTTCTATCACATCATTTATTTTATTCAACATTTTTCTCTTCTCTTCTTATCTCTTCATTCTGTAGAAATGATTAAAAAATTGTAAAATAATATTACTCTTTATAAAAAAGTTCATTTCACGCTATTTTTCTATATCTCTTCTACATTTTTATTGATAAAATACCTAGCAATTATTTGAACATGGGAAGGGAAGATAAAATAAATAAATAACAATTTTTCTTTATTATTGTTTAAATAGAGAAAAAATATATCATTTTAAATGACATGTAAACCTTTACGATACAATAAAATATAAGAGTTTATATATTATTTGGCTACTTTTTCTCTCCTTTTCTAACTTGATTTGCCGAGAAATTTTAACACAAGTTCCACGTTTCCCATTATCTTTTACTTTTATTTTTACTGGTTTCAAACTAAAGAAAACACATGTCCGTCAGAGTTTTATAATCTACTATTTGAATCCATAATTTATCTTATTTGATATACTCTCTTTCTTATTATAAGATATTGTAAGGAAAGATGGAAGGCCAAAATTGGAAGTGAATTTGGGGGGCATGAGTTAAGATAAGGAAAACCAACGGTGAGTTCTTATAAGTCGTTCACTTGGGTTCTCTCTTTGGCGTTGGTCGAGAGCACATGTCGCTGTAAACCTTTTATATCCTCTCCAACCACTCGTGTCTACTATTATGCATTATGGATCACATTCACATCAAATCTCTTTCTAAATTTCTAAATCATTGAAGAAAACAAAACACTGCTTATAATTAAAAAGAAACCCAATGTTACAAGGTTTCATGGCCAATGGATTGTTGGTTATGGTATGCATGCTTTCACCTTCCTTTTTCCAATAATGCAATGTCCCTTTTTGTTTGCAAATTCTAATATTTGAGATTACTTGTGCCATGCATTGGATAAGCTCTGCTCTTAAATCAAAGAAAGTCCCAATGGACAAAGTTTTTCATCTTAATCCCAAAAGATCAACATTTCCGCTTTCTTCATCATCTTCTGCACACGGTTCTTTCCAATTCCTCACTTTTCATCCCAATTGTTGACACAAACACCTTCCTCGATTGCAATTTCTCATTTTCATTTTATGCTCTATCTAGACTTGAGGCATTTGGACTTGGAGAAAGAGAAAGAAGACGAGACATCTCCAAGAGGAGTCTTAGAAGCCTGCATCAAAGACTATGACTCTCTTCACCCACAAGAATCTGATACCACGTGTTCAAGCTCCAGGGCGCGCTCTCACTGGTCCAAATTCCTCAAACTTTGGAAAACGAAATCGGTTAAGCGCCTAACTTCCTTCCATCCTATTTCTGTGCCAAAGATACCGAAGTGGAAAAGCAAAAGCACAAGAGAAAATGCTGTTCTCTCTAATCTATACAACTTCAGGTCTTCTTTGACCACTTTCACTCTCTCTGACCTCAAATATGCAACCAACAATTTTAGCCATGGTTTGCAATATGCCCTTTACTCAATTCTGCATAGTTTTATTGGAATATGTATTTCTCACCCTTTTATTTCTATGTAGAGAATTTAATTGGAAGAGGTGGATTTGCCGAGGTTTATCAGGGGTGTCTACAACATGGGCAATTAGTAGCTGTGAAGAAAATGACAAACGGGACCACAGATGAAAAGACCGCAGGCTTTCTTTCTGAGTTAGGTGTAATTGCTCATGTTGACCATCCCAATACTGCCAAGCTAATTGGATGTTGTGTAGAGGGAGGAATGCACCTTGTTTTTGAACTCTCTCCACTGGGAAGTTTAGGATCTCTTCTTCATGGTTTGTGCTTAGTTTCCTGACTTTCTATATGAAAAGTTGCTTTTGAAAAGGTATTTACTGCTGCTTCTCTCGTAGTGTATGCCAGGTTCAGAGAAAAACAAATTAGATTGGATTAGAAGGTATAAAATTGCTCTGGGAATAGCTGATGGTCTCCTCTATTTGCATGAGAATTGTCACAGGAGAATCATTCACAGAGATATTAAGGCAGAAAATATTCTGCTCACGGAGAATTTTGAGCCACAGGTTTTTGCTAAGCTTCATTACACTGAATCTTAGGCTCCATCAATGTATTCTCAATTAATTTGTGGTTGTGTTCTATATTTGTACATGTTCTGCTTGTAATCTTGATGCAATCTTTCTCAAATTCATCACTCCTTTATCAATTGAGATTTTCTCCAGATTTGTGATTTTGGGCTAGCAAAGTGGTTACCAGAACAATTGACTCATCATAATGTATCAAAATTTGAAGGCACATTTGGGTATGCAAATAAAATAGTACTAATAATGCTAGCTGGAGTTTTTTGGGTTGTCATGATTTAATTTAATATATTCCCCTAATTACTTTGATTGGCAGATATTTTGCTCCAGAATATTGCATGCACGGCATAGTAGACGAGAAAACTGATGTTTATTCATTTGGGGTCCTACTTTTGGAGATCATAACTGGGCGTCCGGCGTTGAATCATTTGCAGCAGAGTGTTGTGATATGGGTAAATAAATCATTTTCCAATAAAATGGCATATAGTATTTTTCAAACTGTCACTGCATGAAAGGCCTTAAGCAGTTAGCACTATGATTTCTTATGTATTGTAGGCAAAACCTATGCTTGACTCTAATCATATCAAGGACCTTGTTGATCCTTCTCTTGGCAATAATTATGACCAAGAACAGATGAGGCGCTTAGTTTTGACTGCATCACTGTGTGTTGATCAATCTCCTATCTTACGCCCCCGCATGAGACAGGCAAGTACACAATGAGCTAGATACATGCACATAGTTCATCCAAATTGAAATTTCACTTGGTGTTACCATCATCTTAATGCAAGGAAACTGTTATTTTTAGTTACCGAACTGTGTATATATCTTAGGAAGTTATCTATTTCATTAGGAAATATATCTTCACTTGTTTAATGCAAGTTAAGATAGATTGCAGAAAAAAGAAAAGAGAAAGATAGTAAGGTTGCAGAAAGCGTGTAATTTCACAAAAATTGATGTTATTTTGTTTGATGGCTTCAGGTTGTGACAATGCTAAGAGGTGATGAGTGTATCAACGAGTGTAGAAAAGAAGGCCCAAGGAGGCGTCCCCGAAGAACATACTCAGAAGAGCTACTTGATGTGCAAGAATACAACTCCACCAAATATCTAAGAGATCTCAAACGACATAAGCAGGTTGCCTTGGGTCTTGATAGCTAAGAACATCCCTCACCATTAGTTGCAAAACATTGAAGGCTATCTAAATTAGCATGGACCAACTTGTATAGTTTGTTTTGTCATCCTTATTATATGTACAGGTGAATGCTTATATGATCAAACTTAGGTATAGAATCATTAGTGTTTTTGGTATTATTTTTAAGTTAAAATTGAAGAATAGTACAAAAGATACTTTATGCTGTCCCTTAAAACTTTTTGGTGTTGCATCTATTAAGGGTCTCACATGACATAATCCATGTATATATATCTCTATTGATGTATTATGCAGTTGATGGAGAGAATTCAAATCACCTATTTGTCTGTTTGGATTAACCTTGAGCCAATGAAACATACATTATGAGATAAAAATTTACAGTTAATATGAACTAATCTCACGTTACGCATCAAAATTTTGCAGAAACAATTTTTTTGATTCGGAGAAACAGAGTCACTGGTTAATGCAAATACGCTGACTCTCTGTCACTGCATGTGAACCATATCTTTTTCATTGAATTGAATCTGTCTCGTTCTTTCATGATTAGACCCAGCATAGATTACTAATGTCTTTGCCTGAGACCTTAAAACTTCTTGAATAAAACAGCCTTTCAAAAATAACATTAATTATTAATAATTTATTTTCAAATAAATATTACTAATTAGTACATAAATAATAACAAGAGTAACTTTTTTAGCTTAAAAAATTCATCATTTTATTAACTCATTTTTTTAATTGATAACAATGTTATTAATCTCATCATTTGATTTTTATTTTTCTATAGTTCTAATTAAAATAAATATTTTTTACTATTTAATATTATAAATGTTAGAATGAAACAATGAAAATAATTAAATATAAAATACTAATTAAAATCACAAAATATTTCAACAAAATTTTAAGGAATTACCAAACTAAGAAAGGCATCTAGCCACAGCTTTCCTTGATTTTGAAAAGGATTAGTATCTCTCTCCCTAAAAAGTAATGTACCATAAAAAATGATTCAACAAAAGTTAAATGTCTTTATTTTGCATCTTAAAAATAATCTAAAAATTAAAGTTAAACGAAATAATAATTTAAATACATTATTCATCACTTATTAATCTATATCTACATATTATATATTATTTATGTAAAATTGATATACCTACTTATTATTCTATGCATTAAATTTTAAAACGTATAAAATTATTTTTATATATGTGACTCCACCTACTTATTACTTTATGCATTAAAATTTAGAACATTTAAAGTCACTCTAATTGAATACACTTAATTATTACTTTATGCATTAAAATTTGAAATGTATAACTTACAAATTAAAATTATATTTTATTCATATTTATTATCTTTGAATTGTATTTAAAAAATGTTTATAGAACTGATGGTTATATTATGTTACAAATGGCAACATAAATATTCATACTATAAATTGCCTTAAATATTCATCTCCACGTATATAAGTCATGTTTATATAACTTTTAAAAACTTGCTCACCATTTCTTTTAGGCATCTCTTTTTGAGCAGCTCACAAATCAGACTTTAAAGAATCAACGAGTATAGAAGAGAAATTTTATCTTTATCTATTGAATGACTCATCTGTGTATCAAACATAAAAAAATCATATCAAAGACATACAATTGATAAGAAAGCGAGTAAGTCAATAACATCCATTTATGGTTACTTTTCTGTGAGTCAAAGTTTTAGTTAGAGTTGAATAAGAGATTTTTCCTAGGCACTTTTGATACAAGCAAATACTCATTTTTTATAGGAGGTATAATAAGTGAGGTATAAAATCCACTTTTGATACAAGCAAATATCTTTGAGTTAGAGTTTATTTTAGTGATTCACTATTCTTTCTATTATCTTTTTTTTTTGTATTTTGCAATCATGTTAGCTTGTCAATAATTACTTGTGTCCATGTAAGTATATGTGTTTTTAAGACTGATATTTTTTATTTTGTTTTACAAAATTGTGTTATATATTTCAATTTAATTTTTTGAATAAGTACAAAGTTGTATTATTTTTAAATGATATCATGTATTGAATTTTATTTTTAACTGAATCTATCATTATTTTATTTAATATATTACAAGTAATTATTTACTTTTATGTTTTTCATGCTTTTGTAGGAGAATAACAAGCTCCAATAAAGATAAATGGATCACGATTGTGTGATACAGTAAATATATATTAGTACTCATATAGTACTAATTGATGAAAATGTATTAGTATTTATATTTTCTTTATTAAAAATTATTATTTTTAATAAATTATAATTATGTTATTGTATAATAATTAATTAACTTAATTTATTTTAAATTTTGCTAACTGATTAATTTTTTCTTTCTACAGAGCAATTACATACACATTTCATAGTACGAGGTATTTCTTATAGATTTAGAGGTATGTTAAAGAATGGAAAAATATATTTCATAACAAATTTTCAATGACAAAGAACAAAAATATATTTGATGTTGTTGAAAACAATCCTTTTATGTTGTAATTGTATTTAACAGGTATTTTGCTGTAAAATTTTACTAAAATTATTATATCATTTGTACTTAATTTATCAATTAATTTTTTAAATTTATTTATTTTATGAATAGATGTTATTAGAGTGGTCATGCACATAAGTTCTATTGAAGATAATATTTTAATAAATTAGTTTAGTAAAATTAGTTTCTTAATTTTTTTTAAAAATAATTTAATAGAAATTGACTTATCATAATTATGTATAATCTATTAATATAGACAGTATTTTATTTATATTTTATATTATAATAATTAAATGACAAATTTAGTTTTTTTAAATTAAAAAATTAAAAATATTTATACTTAATGATTTTGTTGCAAAAACTTGTTTATAAAATGTTATAATGATGATGATAAATTCAAAAACTCTCAAATTAAAACTAATTAATTATAATAATTGAAATAAATTAAATATTATTAAATATCATAACAATGAAAATAATATGATTTGATATTTAAATCTTTAGGTAATCGTTCGATTTGCATATTTAATAATTTTATATTGTAATAAATAATGTTTTAACTTTGAATTAAGTTTAATTTTAGATTTAATTTTTATATATATCATTTGTTTTAAAAGTTAATAAATATCTTTCTTTACGAACTTTTAAAATTTTATGAATATGAAATTTAAATTTTCACAACTAGCAAAAGACTTAAAATCCAAAAAATATAGAGGTTAGTGTTTAAAATATTATAAAAATATTCTTTATATTAACATATCAAATTATATTTATTTATTAGAATTTTATATTCTCACTATATGATTATTCAAAATTTTTAAATTGAAATACAATTTTTAATGTTTTTGAAAATTTTTCTGAGATTATTTAATCACAAACGTAGAGAACCATGCTTCTTAATGAAAAAATTCAACCATTTTATGGACTTACAATTAATTCCTAGGATATAAATTAAAATACAAGTATTATACATAAAAATATTAATTCAATACAAATATTTTTTATTAATATAATTATTTATTATGTTATATTCTTAAAATTATATATTTCTTAATTTAAAAAATATTTAAATCAGGTTTACTAAATATTAATTTTTTTTTTTTGTAAAACTAAGTGATGTATCAAATATTAGACTACAGAAATAGACACGAGGACATCATACAAAAATTATATCTGAAAGCAATCATCAAATATCAAATACGTCATATATACGTCAAAATGATTAAAATACATCTATTTTTTTAATGACAATATAATATTTTAATATGTTTATATTAAAGTTATATTTATATATTTTAAAATAATTACAGACCTAATAATAATATACTTTTTTTATTTATCTTTAATTCAATTTACATGTTTACTTTCATCTAGCGTTTTAAATTTACTTTTTAAATATTATTATATCATTAAATTACTTTATAATTACATTTATTTTTATTTATTCTTATTTATAATAATAAATAAAAAACAAATCATATTAAATATTTTTAAAATTGAAAATAAAAGCATAAAAAATTGATAAATTTATTATTTTAATTTTATGACTCAAACAACATAATTTTATTATACTTAATCAGTTACCAAATAAAATTAATTTGTTTATAATGTTAATCAATATTAATTCTATTAAGTTATCAAGCAATATAAAATAATTTAATCATTTTAAAACAACTCAATTTTATATATTTTTTTTATTTTTATTAACAAGTAAATTTCTAAATTCAAAATATATATTGCATTATTATCAAGTTTTATTTAAAAAAATTGTATAATAATTTTATTTATATATAAAGAATTTAATATATTTTCATTTTTAGATATTAACAGATAGTTTTGTATATAAATATTGAAATCAGATTTTTAAAACTTCATACATTAGTTGAATAAATATAATTTTATTTTTGTGTATATTAGTCTACTGATTTATTTTGTAAAAAATATGATATCATCTTTTAATAATTATATAGTAAAATTTTATTAATAATTTTAAATTATAATTATAAATAAATAATTTATCATATATATTTAGTTCAACAAATATAAACAAATACATAAGTAAAAAACTATAAATGACTCGTACAAGTTAGAGATAGAAACATACCAATAATTAGTAAAGAAGGAGAAGACATTTTTATGTGGATAATAATTTCAACCCAATATGTACTTAAGCCAATAGAATATTTACTCAAACAAATTTTTAAAAGTACATATCCAAAATTTCAACAACAAATGCAGGATGAAAAATACCTTCAAGAGAGAGTCATACTTATTCCTTTAAATGATATTATTGATGATATTAATAATTATATCATAAACATGATTGAAGGGTCAATAAAGTATTACAGAAGATTTGATAAGATTGATAAAACATCTGATAAAATCATTGAACAAGAGTTTATGTATCCCGTGAAATTCTTAAATACTTTAAATTTTAATAGATTTTCTCCCCATTACTTGCAACTCAAAGAAGAAATATCAATTATACTACTTAAGAACATTAATCCCCTATTAGGAATATAAACAAAAAAATAAAAATATTTATTACTAAAAAAGATAACAAGTATATAAAATATATAAAAAATATTATATATAAAAAAATATTTCATAATCTTCTTCAGTATAATTATATTTAATATAATAATTTTTTTTACTATATTTGTATATTTTTATATTTAAATTATATATTTTATATTTTAAAATAAATTAATTTAATAAAAATAAAATAAACCAGTGGGACATATTTATTAGTTTATATAATGTAAAGTATACTTATTTGTATTGATTATGAAAGTAAAACTTGTTTTAATTAAGGAATAATAAAAAATACTTACAAACATCGATACAGTTATTAAAATGGTAATAAAATAGTGATGAGTAGAAAACTCTACCTACAATTACGACACAATTATTGTTGGTAAACAAGTTGAAGTTGGAAGGCAATAAAAAATATAAAAATATGGTTGGGCATCTAGTCTAAGATATTCCCACGGCTTGTAGTTTAGTAATCAAGATGCCGTGTGGACTGTGTATTGATTCCTAAAGCCTTTTCCTACAAACAAGCGTATCAGAATTCTCCCCTAAAATTGTTCATAACTCAAGTATGCCCCTATTCTAATGCCAAAACACCACGACACCCACGTGCCCAGCTCAAATGACCAATTTGCCTCCACACCAATCCACCAATAATGAAAGGGTGTGTACAGGCTGGATGATAATTTTCTAGTTTGAAAATATTTCAAGGGGATGTAACGGACATTTTGAAATTGTTGCGGGAGCTAAGTGACATTAGGGAAATAAGCTTTTTTGCGATTAGCACCAAGCACAAGCAGAGTCGCCCTGAGTCTAAACGTAAGAGAGAGACAGAGAGACAGAGAGAGAAAAGGAACCGTCTTCGTTAAGGTCAAATTTCCTCAACTACCAACTAAACCGTAACGCCGGAGTTCTCCGCCGCCGTGTACGGCGAATCCCGACGCTTCTCGATCTTATGCTATATTCGATCGCCTGCGTTCCGCGACTCTCGTCGGCGCGGACGGAAGTCCCGGTAACTCACCGGTATCGCCTCGTTGATTATTATGAAGAACCAGGGCAAGGACAACGGTTGCAAGAGCAATGGATTCGTTCCTTCTTCGTTCAAGTTCATATCGTCGTGCATTAAGACCGCCTCCTCTGGCTTCCGCTCTGCCGGCGCCTCCGTCGCCGCCTCCATCTCCGGCGACGGACACGACCGCAAAGACCAGGTAGCATTTTGCGTGCGTGCTACAGTTCCGAAGTTTCGTGTTGTTGCCTTGTGAAATTGTGATTTGTGAATGCTGTTCAAAGGTATAAAATGAGAAGTCAAACGTGCTTGAGTTTTGATCATTCTTTGTCGAGGAAAATTTAGTTCAGCCAAAGCTTGCTAATGTTTGGTTGCTATGATGACTGAGTGGTGTGAAAATCAGCGCGCTTATGGAAATGCTATTCTTACTGCTGCACATCCCACGAAATGAACCGTTTATTCCTATTTCTTTTGTTTTGTCTCGAATGTTTGAATTGCATTTATTCGGGACTATTCAGTGAGGTTAAGGACTTAATCCACATGACTATGGCACGATTTTTTTCAGTACTTAATTTTAATCGTTTTCTATCCTTTTTTGGTTTTGTATTTTGTAAAGAGGTATGGAATGTTCTGATTAACAATATTGATTTATTTAACTGCATAACACTAAAGAGATATTGGTTTGTTAATTTTTCATTATTGCAGACCAGAATTAATTTGGTACTGGTAGTTTGTAAATGCTGTACGCCTTATAATTGGGGATACGGTAAAGCTGGAATGTAGAATATAGCATTACATTCGTGCCAGTTTTAAGAAACTTTGATTGTGGCGTGGAAATACCGAATAATTTACAGACCCCAAATTGTAGTTATGGACATGTATTTTGATCAGCCCTTTGCTGTGGCAAACTTCATAATTTATTTTCAACTGTAAACTTATGAATGAAGGAGTCAGAATCATTCACCTCTATTTGTCATGCAGGTGCTTTGGGCTTGCTTTGACAGGCTAGAAGTTGGTCCGTCTTCTTTCAAACACGTTCTCTTACTTGGTTATTCCAATGGCTTTCAAGTTCTTGATGTGGAAGATGCCTCTAATGTCAGGGAACTTGTCTCGAAACGTGATGATCCAGTTTCATTTTTACAGATGCAGCCTGTCCCTGCAAAATCAGAGGGATGTGAAGGATTCAGAGAATCACATCCTTTACTCTTGGTTGTTGCATGCGATAAATCAAAGATCCCTGGTAAAATGCTAAATGTCAGAGACGTCCATAATGAAGCTCAAGCTGAAAATATTGTCAGCTCAGCTACAGCTGTTCGATTTTACTCACTAAGGTCCCATACTTATGTTCATGCTCTGAGATTCCGTTCAACTGTGTACATGGTTAGATGCAGTCCTCAAATTGTGGCCGTGGGTCTTGCTACTCAAGTAAGTTTTTGACTCAAGTACTTTCTTAATTTGCTTTGGCACTTTTATGTGGAAAAATACTTGTTACCTGATTGAGGAAGTTGAGTTTATGATTGTTTTTGATAGATTCTGACTAGGTCTTATCGATTTTCTTTGGCATATTGCAAGGTTGTAGGATACTGGTAGATTATCATGTCATGTAATGATGATTGCTTATGTATTATTTTTATATGATTTTATTGTAATATACAGCAGTGTAGTTTGCTATTGCCAACAAGTAAAATCTGGCTAATTTGTTTTCTTCATTTACACTTTACTGGCAGATATATTGTTTTGATGCTCTAACTCTTGAGAATAAATTCAGTGTTCTCACTTACCCTGTACCTCAGCTGGGGGCCCAAGGAATGGTTGGGGTTAATATTGGCTATGGTCCTATGGCTGTAGGGCCCCGGTGGTTAGCTTATGCCTCCAACAGCCCATTGTTGTTAAGCACAGGTCGCTTGAGTCCTCAGAATCTTACTCCTCCTACTGTCAGCCCATCAACATCACCCAGCAGTGGAAGCCTAGTAGCCCGATATGCCATGGAATCTAGTAAGCACTTGGCTGCTGGGCTGATCAATCTTAGTGATATGGGATACAAAACACTGTCTAAATACTATCAAGATCTTATACCTGATGGATCCAGTTCTCCTGTATCGTCAAACTCAAGCTGGAAAGTTAATCGATTTACATCAAATTCTACAGAAATAGATACAGCTGGGATGGTGAGTTTTCTATTTGATGATAACTTTACACGTTATAATCTGATTTTCTTTGCAATGTGGGAAATTGCTGACTAGATATTTTCTTTCTTAAAGTAATATTGGCATATGTATTACAATTTGCATGAGATCATCTATTGGTTCAGCTTAGCAATAGAAGAAGAATTTTCTAAGGTAGTTAATAGCACGGAGTATTTTGTTGTAGTCTCTTCCCTTTCCTCCCCCTTCTTTTCATCATTGTTTTATGTCAGTTGAAACTGGAAAGTAATTATTCTTTGTTTGTTGACTAATATAAGTGATCTATTGCAGGTTGTTGTCAAGGATTTTGTTTCCAGAGCTGTTCTGGCACAATTTAGGGCCCATACTAGTCCAATATCTGCATTGTGTTTTGACCCAAGTGGGACACTTTTAGTTACAGCCTCAATTCATGGTAACAATATTAATATATTTCGAATTATGCCATCCTGCACCAGAAATGGATCAAGTTCACAAACCAGTGATTGGAGCTGTTCACATGTGCACCTTTACAAGCTCCACCGTGGCATGACATCAGCTGTATGCTTCTGTTCTCAGTGTTTCTTTATGGTCTTTAATGTTTAGACCCTTCAGAGCCAATTGATCAATTGCTAGTGTACGCTTTTATGCTATCATCTAGGGATATTGAAACATAATTAAAAGAGTTAAAAATTCAAACTTTACTGATTTGGTAATATATTGCAGGAGATCAGAATTAAATCATCATTATATTTATTTGCTTGAGTTGTGAAGGTTTTTACTGCATTGTGTATATTATACAGGTAATACAAGATATTTGTTTTAGCCATTACAGTCAGTGGGTTGCCATCATTTCCTCGAAGGGAACTTGTCATATTTTTGTTCTTGCCCCTTTTGGTGGTGAGACAGTTCTTATGCACAATCAGGACACAGAAGGGCCTGCTCTTTTGCCAATTTTTCCTCTACCATGGTGGTTCACTCCACATTTCACAGTAAACCAGCAGCAGTTTTGCCTGACACCCCCACCTCCTGTTGTTCTTTCGGTGGTTAGCAGAATTAAAAATAGCAGTGCTGGATGGCTCAATACGGTTAGTAATGCTGCATCTTCTGCGGCAGGGAAAGTCTCAATTCCATCCGGTGCTGTTTCTGCTGTGTTTCATAGTTCCATTCCTCATGATTCACACAATGCGTACTCAAAATTTCATGCTATGGAGCACTTATTGGTTTATACTCCGTCTGGTCATTTAATTCAATATAAACTACTACCATCATTGGTGGCAGAGCCAAGTGAAACTGCATCAAGAACAGCCCCAGTTCCTTCAGCACAGATACAAGAAGAAGATTTGCGTGTGAAGGTTGAACCTGTTCAATGGTGGGATGTTTGTAGGAGATCTGATTGGCCAGAAAAAGACGTGTGCATATCAGGAAATACTGTTGGTGGATTGGAAACTGCAGAAATGATCTTGGATAGTTCAGATTATGAGGATAATAGTGTCGGGAACAATAATTCTATAAAACTAAATAAGCAATGTCACTTCTCAAATGCAGAGGTTCATATAAGCTCTGGGAGGATAGCTGTTTGGCAGGAGTCTAAGGTATTAAGTTGGTTTCTGTGCTGAACACTCCTGCTTGTCACTTTTCTTCTTGTTATTTTGTCCTTTCAATCAAACTATTTCTTCCTTGCTTTTTAGGTGTCTTTCTTTGTGATGAGTCCCTTGGAGGCTGGAGAGCGGCATTTATGTGAACTTAGTGCCACTGGAGAGATTGAAATAGAGAATATTCCTGTTAATGAGGTTGAAATAAGACAGAAGGATCTGTTGCCCATCTTCAACCATTTCCATAGAACTCAGTCTACTTGGGGTGACAGGTAACGATCACTTATCTGCTTTTTTTTTGTTGGTCCACTAGATATTATGTCTTGTCCACTTAGAGAATTATCATTCTAGATATGGGGCACACATTCAATTTATATATCAGGCTCTATGTTATCTACACCTGTGAATATTTGTTGAGTCTTCTCTTTCTGAGCTGCTGAGGATTACTTTTTCTTACTTGCAAGTTTGCACCTGGCAATACTCTCTCTACTGCTCTGCACTTGTGTTGTCGTTTCAATTTCTTGTGGGGACAGCTTTCCAATCCTTTTGTTGCAATAGCTTTGTTTAATTTTTATCTGTACTTAAAAATGCTGCTCTCCTCTAAGTCCTATGTTGAGATGCTTTATTTTAGTTGAAATGATATATTTCGGAAGTCATGGGAGTTTGAGATGTCCTGCTTGTGTCAAGCAGCTAGTAATATTATTTTTCTTATTCATTTCCATTTTGCTTTTACGTGGTTTATATTTGGAGTCTAGGTATGGATGGTTTTGTGGTTAGAATTTAAAGTTTAACTTTGATTGGGTTCTCTGTTTATTGACCAATGATATTTGAGTATGATGTTTAGGGGAGCATTGCTTTTACTTCTCATTTGTTAGAGTTTAAATTTGGAGGGTTGCTTGATCATTGTTATTCTAGCGATAGAAATTTGAAACTGTGTGCATAACTGTCCATGCACATGCTAAAATGTTCTACAATTATTGTTAGGGCTATCTTTATGGGAAGATGCTCTAGCTCCTCATCTGATTCTCATGGAACTGAAGAGAAGTTGTCAGAAGATGCTGCAATATCCCATTCTAAGTTGATGGTACCTGGCTTAGCTGACAAGGCATGTGTTGGTAAGATAAGCAATTCAGTGTAAAGTCTTCTATTATATTTTTGGTGTGACCTATGTAACTCTTTGTTCTTGACAATTTTTGTCACAGACTTGTCAGCAAATTTTTCTTCGTCGATTAACTTGTCTAATAAGTAGATTAATTGCAAGAACAGAGAGGTAGCTGTGTCAGCTTCACCTCTTTTAATTCTTGAAACTGTTAACACATGATGTTTCAGCAGGTGCCTCACATTTTGCTGATGGTATAACTGCAAGTGCAAAGGTTAAATCATCTTCAAAACATGAAAAAGCCAGTGACAGTTTCAATTCAAGTTTTAGTGGTTGTGATTTGAATACGAATGTTAATTGTGAGGAGACAATGCGTGATTCACCAGACTTTGAGCAATTTTTTCAAGAAGGTTATTGTAAGCAATCAGTTGACTGTCATGAATCAACAGAAGTTACTACTGATGTGGATTGTAGCAGTCCCTGTGGCAGGGAGAAATCTGATGAAGATGGTGATAATGATGACATGCTTGGTGACGTATTTGACTTCTCTGAGGAAGGTATGAATCTGAAATGGTTAACCTTTTGATTTCAATGATATTCAGCTCAGCCATAGTTGATTTCTCTGTGTGCATGTGTGTGTGTAGAACTTGTATATGTGTGTAATAAAAACAGAGAACATTGAAAATGGTTTTCATTTTTAGTGATCATTTTGCATGTATGTGTGCGTAGCACTTCCAAGATGTGTATATAAACAAAAAGAACAGAAGATATTGAGAATGGTTTCAGTTTTAGTTATCATCTTGCCTGTTTGGTTCTTATTTTCCTTAAAACTACAAAATGTTTGTGTTGCAGGTTGATCACTACTATTTTATTTTATGCTTGCCTCCCTCTCTTCGAATTGCTGTAAATTGGTGGTGTAAAGGAAAAATGAATTGACAAGTACAAGTGATTTGCAACAAGCTAAATGCTACTGACCATTGATTCAAGGAATTTAATGTTCTTCACTCTCAACATCCCTTCCCAGTCCAATGATTCTTCTGACCTGATTTCATGTAAATGATGTATATTGAAATTCATAACTACAAATTATTTGTGTGGGCACTGGGTGGGTTCTTTATATGTATGTATTATATTCTTTCATCATAGTTCATAGCTTTGGAGGCAAAGGGAATGGATCTAAGAGAAGGGGGGAAGGGAGGGGGCAGATAGCTTGCTTGTTTTATTCTGCTCTCTTTTGTACTCATTCACGCAGGATTATTTATATTTCCCGTGACTCGCTTGCTGAATTGAAGATATTCATTTGCCCATTGGAAAAAATAGTATCCAGAAAAGTATGGACTTCAAAATGATTATGCCATTTCCTATTATATTCTTGACTCCTTTATGACTAGAGAGCAAAGTACATATAACTAGCATATTAACTCTACCAGATTACATGGCTTTTAAATTCAAATAATTTTCCAAAAAAAAAAAAAGGTAGGTGTTATATTTATTTGGAGTTAGAATATGGTAATAATGATAGGCTACTCCAAATTTTAGGTTCACGGAATTGGTGACATGTTTGGGATTTCGCAAGTATAGGCTGAGGTTACCCGAGAGGTACCCGATAATAAGATACTATGGATATGTTTGATTTCTCTTTTAAAAAGAATTTTTAATTTTTTTTCTAAATATAGTATAAATATAAAACAAACATATCCTATATTTTGCTACTTATAGTTTGTTGTTTTATAAGTAATTCAGTTATTTAAACTCTACAATCTTAACACTGTATGTAATGTTATATTTTATTATTTCTATATCTTTTGTTTTTCTGTATACATGTATTTAAAAAATATAGTGAAATTATTAAAGAAACAGAAATGTTATTCCAACACCCAAATAAAGTGTTGGAGTATAGGCACATATTTCTACTTTATTTAAATAACCAGTTGTACAAATTCAATTATAGACACTAATATAAGATATCTAACTTCACAAAAAAAGAAAAAAATCTTTTCCCACCCACTCTTTCTTCTTTTTTGTTATTTTCTTGCACCATCATGTTCTTCTCTCCCTTTCCACTCCTTCCTCTTTGCATTACAAATTCAGGATAGCAAACCTCAAAAAAAAAAAAAAATATCTCTCCTGCCCACTCCTCCTTCTCTATTACTCTCTTGTACTATCATATTCTTCTCTCCCACCCACTCTTTTTTTTTTTGCTTTACGCTATGACTCTTGCACCATCTTAAGACTCCTATCAAAGCTCGTCTACCACAAATCTATTTCTCTCAACACCACCATTTAAGCTCAAAAGTTTTTTGTAAGTCACTCTCCCTTAAGCTCACCCATAACACATAACCAAAGGCCTAACATAAAGTCTATGTTATTTTCATTGGCCTCATTCATATTAGTTCAATCATTAATCAATCAAGAATTAGTTACTAATCCCCTCACAGAATTGAATTAATTGGAATAAACATCAATTAACCCTAAATTCTTATGCAAGATTAAGCAAATTACATAATCTCCAATTTCTAGTTCTTAGAATTAAGCAAACTTAGAACCTAACATTTGGGAAGTGCTTACTGAAACAATTGAGTGTTGGAAGTGATTACTTCCACCCAGTTTTCTCTTAAAAGCTCAAATTCCATAGATCATTGTCTAGAATTTTCTGCACACTTATTCTAATAAGCATATTTACAAAAGATGATCATAAAACTATGTAAATTGAACTAAATTAAGAAAATTAAAATTAATAACAGAAATGACATTTTTATGGTATTTACATTTTCTAACTTCATTTTTCTATTAAAAATCTATTGAATAAATAAGTGAAATATTAACAAAATATAGATTCATCATATGTCCGTAGCTTTTCTTGTTAGTTGCTTGGCATTCAATTCCATTTACTTTTTCACCAACACCTGTTAACATCAACAATCAATAGTAAGTGGTTAAAGAAACATTCATGAAGTTAGTCTTATCAACACAATTTATTAGTGTACATATACACGAACCTATTCGCGGGCTTCAACCAGAGGAAAAGATAACCTTTCATAGCATAGACTAGTAAGAACAGATGGAGAAGGAGTTAATAACACCTCATCAACTTTAACTGCTTCGCACACAAGTTCTCTTTCTTGATTTCTGACATCCAACACCCCGTTTACTAACAAATCCTCAAGAATGCTAGCAACCTCATCCTATAGGCATTATACATTTTCATTTAGAGCAATTAATGTTAATTCGATAAAAAAACAAGACAACAATTTACGCACCTTATTCCATGTAGGCATAGTATAATCACCTTTATAGGTTGCATCACCATCCCACATCTCCATGTATTTAATGGTGTGCACACCACAATCATAATTGTATAAAAAATAGTAAAGTATCCATTCAGTATCAATTTATATTGAAAAGATAAACAATAATGAGTAAATTCAAAACAACATTCATATATATGAAAAATGAAAACAAACTCACCCATTATGTTGTCTGGAGATACTTGGATACTCAATTTGTAGTTGGGCATTAGTAATGGCCAAGTTCTGATCAATCAATGTTAATATCTCTTCAAATCGTTTGACTTACATTATTCAAATATTATTAAGCTTTAACATGCACCTACTGAAAATAAGCAAATAATGTCACTAGTTAATAAGTCAATTCTTCCATACTATCAACTTACCAAAAATGTCATCTTACCGATGTGACTAAAGTACAAATAATCTAACATGTATAACTTCATCTTCAGTCCACCATATAGCACCACCAATGCTTTCCATACAAGATTGGTGCAAATATCTACAACAAAAGAAGGATTGCAATAGTCTTTTACAATATTTTTTAGAAATATTTGATACATTGTTTGAAATTAAATACCAAACTACAGGTGACAACACTTCTCTGATTAGCAGGAAAAAAGAAGGGTAACTCGCGCCATGAAAAATGCTTATCCTTTATGAAATTATTTAGATCAACTTTTACACAATCATGTAGTTAGACAAATGAATAACATTAAATTTATTAAATATTGATGTAAAATAATATAAAAGAAGTTGCAATCACCGTGAAGTATGAAGATAAACAGTAACGAGACTTTAAACTTGGGACAATCTTTATGTCATTGAAGACTGAACTAGCCAAACTAACAACCTAAGCATGTTAAGACAGTGTGTTACAACAAGGTTCATATTGACACAAGTATGCCTAATATGTATGGTGCACTATACATTGTTACAAAGTTTGTATCTATGTCCCATAGTTATTATGTCAACACAATTCAAATAGTATCTACACATTGAAACTAGCACTCTAAATCATAAAGGACAAATTGTTAGTCAATTATAAAATATATTATGTTTCACTAGTTGTACACAAGTAAATTATATTACAAAAATTTATAAAATACAGACATATAAATCTACACTCTTATTTTGATTCTAGTGGTCTTGACTTCCTAATGCAATACTCATATAAGGCATTGAGTGTCTTTGTTTGACCATGCCTTTCATTGGTAAAGAGAATAGGACCATAAGTAAGTCTTCCATCACCTTCGTCTATATCTTCATCTTTATCCTTTCTGCGATTAGAGTTTTTTAAACTTGGAATTTCCATTTTAAAGCTTAAAATCTCCTATTCAGTATTTCTCATTTTCTTTTCTTTGGAAGCATTCATCCTTGTGGATGAAGATAACATAAGACAATTACTAGCTAGAGTAGCTTCTTCTTATGCCTTATACATCTTAATACTCTTTGCAACCAAGTTTCAAAACAACTACATTTACATATTTAATCACATATGAATTATTTGGACAACGAAGAAGCACCACAACACAATAATGTAAACAACAGAAAAAGAAATAATCTTATAAATCCAAACAACATTTACTATACCTCAGTTTCAAAATTCTCTTTCAACCACACTGTGTCAACAAAATTAGCTTAATTGTTTTTATGGTACAATAGGCCCTATTGAAGATAAAAAAAAAATTATCATGAATTATAAATAATTTAAGTCTTCATATCAACTATTTTCAAATTTGGTTACTATTAGAGTAATATAAACACAAATTGGTATCTTCAAATTAGATCAATAGAATTTACCAGCACATTATTCTTCTTTTCCCGACTTTATTTGTCTACTATGTCATCATCCCAAATATTGAATTAGTGGACATTCTTTGTTCGATGAGGTAATGCTAAGTGAACATTTATGAAAATACAAAACCTGTAGCAATCCTAAAATTAAATTATATAGCACAATAGAAAAGGAAACTTAGTCAACGAGAGTCAAGTATTAGAATTAACAATTACATAGTTAACATTTGCTAAACTATAACAAATAAGTTACCATACCTTGAGGAAAAAGATATAACCTTCTATCCCTGTTGTCTTACTCTTGTACTGTCTGGCCTTATATGATTTCAAGTGCCTTACTAGCCATTTAAAAATAAATAAGCTCCAATTGTACTTTTTTATGTTTTGTATATCAATAATAGATCTGAACAACTTTGCACACGGTGCCATCTTTAAAGTTTGGCACAAAAAACATGACAACACATACAAGATAAATGCTATTCTAAATTAGTCATCGACTTTACCTTTACCAATAATCTAACTTAGTTGGACATCTGTTATTCCATCAAATTCACTCAACATTGCCCTTTGATCCGCTGTGGCACATTCTAGAATGTTCAATCCTATTTTCATCCAAAATATTAGAATTTTCAGTTCCCAAGTAAAAAAATTAATTGACAACTAATAGTTAAGAATATTTATAAAACTCATGAAATAAAGCAAAATCATGATATGAGACAAACACATATATTTAAACTTGACAAATATACTAATGAGTCCCATGCTAATTAACTTATGCAATATGGACAATTGAAATACCACCTTATGATAGGCCAAACACTTTGCCTACATCGCGTGATAACTAACTCGAATCTCCTCTCCCTTAGTATATATGCATAATTGATGTAAATCAAAGTACTTTACCAATGTTAAGCACACACCCTTCTATCAAGTCTTGTACATTTCACATGGAGAAGTCCTCCAAACTCCATATGTATGACTGTGTCTTGTTGTTCTTATGTCAACATCTTACAAATTGTTTGTAAATGATTTGGTGAGCATTGACTAAGGAATATAGCTTGCATACATGTATTCCAATTAAACTATCAAACATAAAACCTCAATATGAATCATAAAGGAAAACAAGTTTGATGAATACATACCTTGCCAGATTTCTTCTTCTTTTATTCAGTGCAAACGTTCCTAGATTTCTTGTGCTATCTTCAATGCAAACCTTCGTAAATATATTTATTTTTTCTTCAAAACAGACCTTTTCATATTTCTTCTTAGTGTGCTTCTTTGACTATTCAGGGATCTTAACACTATGCAAAATTTTTAGATCACCATTACTTTCATCACTATAATCATGCTTATCAATATCAAAGATATTTTCATTAAATAGTGTTGGG